ACAGAGTCATCAACAAGGCTTCCTCTCAACCAAGCGCTACATGCTTGATCACAATCATTGGCGGCAGCGGCGCTATTGCCGAGAACAGTGATGATGTCGGTCCATGCCGAGGGCCAGTCTCGGATACATATCTCCACAATGACAGAGAGCAGTTTGCTCCTCAGGAATCTGTGTGGTGGTGATAACATTTCCCACCTCTACAAAGCACGGCGTGGTTACTTAGGAACGGGGGCTTTACCAGACATGTCACTATTCTCCAGTGCTAGAGCAGCATCCTGGAGGGTACTCCTCACAGCGTCTTTAGAGGCTTCGAAGTAACGCCCTCCATTGGAAGCGTCAGGTGACTGACCCCAACGTCTAAGGGCAGCAGAGTGAGCGAGATATACAACAGGTAAGAACTCGTCACTTCATAACACCTTCCCGAATGAGAAGATTGAGGGCCTCCATCCCGACTTGTGGGGGATATCGTCCGAGATCGGATATTATCACACAAACGCTCTCCAGCATCAACGGACCTACGATTATGGCAAATCCATCAATAGAAATCAGTAACGCTTCTGCTGTGAACTGAAAACCCGATCGCCTCCCCATAGTAGTAGTACTCCCTCCTATCTCCCTGAGCTCCTCCATTCTCCCCTCTCTTTCCTTAATACTGCAAGACGGGTCTGATAGCCGACCTACTACCGACACTAGGCGGTTGACGACCTCCTCCACTTGGTTTGACGGGCCGTCAGAGGATACCAGAGTGGTCCGCATCGACGGTCCGGATGCTACTGTCATTGAGAGGAACGACAAGGGACAGCAGCGAGGGCACTACTACACCGAAAGCTTGCGATCCTCACGTACGAAGTTCGATAACTATCAAAGTACCAAAACAGTTTTGCGATCCCGAATGGCAGCATGAACATCCTTTCCGAAATCAGGAAAAGAACTAAGTGAGTTCCACGAATGGGGACCGCTGATGCCAAAGCCTCTTACAAGATGATATGCTCATGCATAAGGCCGAATTACTTGAACGCAAGAGCGTCGAAATAATCACCACTAGGAAAATGGGGGTGTTATCATCATGCATCAATATGAGATGATTCCACGTTTGGTGAGCCCCTCGAATGACCTTTCTAACAACAGTACTGGCGAGGATGCACTGCTGATCTACCGTCAGTCCTCTGCGCGATTTCAAAGGCTCTACCGGAAGTCACTTCTTGGGTCTATTTCAGAAATCTTTTCGAAGAAGCATTCCTGAGCATTACGCATATAACCGCCAAATTTCGTCCAAACCGCTTCCAAAATCCTACGTGAAGAACCTCAGCCCAGGTCCTTTGAACCAGTAACAAGAAGTTCTTGAGCTCTAGAGATGCTCTCCACAAGAGCTTTTTATTGGGGATACCCTCCAGCAAGAAGCTCGTTTTCACCCGTTAAAATGCGTGAGAAGCGTCAAGAAGTTCATAAACCATTTCAAAAATCTGGTTTTCATGAACTTATTTTTTTAAGAAACTAGACTTCCTCGGGCGCAGGTTGAAGTGGCTTGTGACCCGTTTTTGGCCGGGTTCTGCGATGGACCCCTTCTCAAAGATTAGATAGAATTTACAGACCCGTGTCGAGTCGTAGAACCGTCACGCGCCATGAAATATCTCGCGCGCCCATCGAGTTGTTTCCGCTGGAAAGTCAACATTTGTGGTGCCATGGTTTGCATGCTACACATCGTCCTCACATGTATTCCTGGGAGTTTTGGATGACATACTTGCGATACCTGTGATCCGTATCGCCTTCTCAACTTCCCCGAATGTCTATCTTGATGACAACATCCTCATGTAGACGTGGGGAAGTGCTGCGAGGAGAAGCGCGCGTTCGTCAGCAGACTGGGGAAACTATTTTCTCCCTTATCCTGTCCACCAAGTTTTATAATCGTCTAGTGGCGCCGTTTTATCATCAATAGTACTTGGGACTTGACAGACTTCCGCAGATTTCCTCAATCCCCTTATATTCGCTCCCTCCTACGTATTCATGAAGCTAATAGCACTAGGGCACTTACTGCTGCGTACTGTGCCAGCGAGTCTACAAGGTAATGTTATTCGTCTTTCTGGTTGGATTCACTCTTGTGACAGCTGCGTCGGACGGCAACCCTCAGTCGTCCATGGTAGGGAGGGACGTATGCCAGGAAGATCTAACAAAGATCTTCAGCAAGGTATGTAATGACCCGTGAACTCACCTGTGGATCTCGCTCCCCCCTGCATCAGGATAAAGTCAAAACCGCCGATTCCCCGTATGGCAAGCTGTGCACGCTACGACCTGACACGAGCAGTTTGAATCAACTTCAAGTTATCATTGATAGTGAGGGACACGCCCGCTTGGAATTTGCGACATGCCCTTCAAAACATCCTCTGAATTTATCCATCGGGTGAGCTGTGTGCTATCCCTTACATCTCTGAATGAGAAGTTCCGATCGCCCCTCAGGAAGTGCCCTGAGAGCTGGTTGCTTCGCCATGTACCCCCAACCCGTTCGAGCCCGGGGAAATGTATGATTCTCGACCCGATGAAACTCGTTAACATGAATGTTGTCACCAAACTCGACACTCGAAAGCCCTATGCGACGCGTGCGGACTCCTTTGTTGGCGTGCCTTCTCGGCTTAGGAATGCTCGCGATGAGGATCATAATGAGGCCGATGGGTCCTTCCCTAGCCCCCTAAGGTCGGGTCTGACTCCCGAACTTGATCACGATTTGTCAGCTGTACGCGGTGGCTCGACTGAGAACTCACCGGTCATTGGTTCAGAAAGGAAAATGAACAAGCATGATTCGTCATTGAAAAGGGTGTTTCCAAAAAGGGTAAAGGACAAGGAACACATCAAGGAGAGCATCTCTGAACCGTCCTTTGAGAATGAACATGCCGTCAGTGAGGATGACAAGAAGCATAATTCGATTCAGAAGTGTTTAACGCGATGGAGGAAGTGCAAGAAGCTGCGTCATTCTCAGAAGTCGACGGAAACGCCATCCGACCCCGCGTCGGTCACCTCGGAATATTTGACGGTTGACCCAAGTAGTCCTGATGCCTGCATATCGGTCTTCGTTTATCTAGAGTATTTCCTGCGATGTCGAGTAGAGCAGTATAAAAAGAAGTTGGGACATCCGCAGACTCTCTCGGCTGAGGAAACATCGGTCGTTTTCCTTGAATACTTCTGTAGTTGGGCGTTATTCGTGTCCTAGTGAGGTAGCCAATGTGTTGTACGTGTTCCCTTCATTCTGTTCCAATAACTGCATGTTTTGCTGTACGTGTTCATTGGAGCTCTCTTGCGTTCAGTCGGTAGCACGTGATCTTGTTGGAGCCAGTAGTTGTGGCTGTCCATCATCCCTTGTGTCTTGGATAGGGAGTGCTGCCTCTTTATTAAAGAACCTTCTGACATGGATTAAGTCGCCGAATCATGGTATTGATATCCTCGGTGTGTCGGAGGTCCAGCTCATGGAGGTATGCGAAGACTATGGCGCTGAAGAAAAATGGTGTGACAAGCCCAACAGCGCTTCCGCTGTTCCGTCACCGCGCCACGGCAATACCTGAACCTTCTACTGTCACTACGTATCACCATCAGCTTCCATCGTGCCCTAACACATGTTTGGTTGCCAGTTCAGTCTTGTGGGTAACATCGTTGAGCTCATTACTAGAGCTCTGTCAGGATTAGTAGGTGGAAGCGGAGGCACTCATTTTTGGCTAGCGAAGGTGTCGTCTTACTCGGGCGATGACTGTAAATCGTTATCACGTCTCTCTAGTTTTGAACTGACCAGGAGAATAGAACCAGTCGCAGACTGATGGGGTGAGATCGGTGAATGGCCTCATGTTGCAGTAGTGTGTCTTACCCTGTAACCTGATGTCTGTCATCGGGCGGTTTAGGATGTGGGTGTTGGCAGGGCAAAGCAAGCCCTCGCCGTCTGTAGGGCAAACGTTGGGTCCATTGGGCATCAACATGATGGTAGTGAGGGGGTGGGAGGGCCCTGGGTATGTCTAGTATGTCAGCAATTTAACAAAGAGCTCAATGCTCGGATATCTACGGTGAGGCCTAAGGTGCCGGTCCAAGTCACCCTGGTTCCCAAGACGGATAAGACGTGAGCCTTATTGGTGGCGTTTCCTTCTTGTAGGGTAACATAGGTACGCGTTCTGGTTGAGGACACCTCCAGCGAATTGGTTCATAAGGTGAGGCTTCGTGGTTCTATTGAGGTCAGCACGTAGCGTCTATGTAGGCGGGTCGCCAGATTGCCCTTGTGTGGAGGGAAGGGCCATAGGAATATAGTTGGCACTATAACGCTCAAGGAGGTTTACCATATAGCGAGGGTAGTGGCAGGGGCTCGTCCTTAACGGTGGGGGATGGGTTATTCAGGCTAAGAGTATGGATCCAACAAACGTAGGGAAGCCGTTGAGGTCGATAGTCATAAGCGTTATTGGTGAGTCGCCTCAGTAGGGAAGCTCATTGTAGCTGGAGGAGCGGACGTAGGCACAGCTCACGCCATGGGCATCCAAGTGCTATATAAGCTGCCCGTACAGCATCAACATAGAGACGATCAGCCTATCTCTGATCTGGATAGGCTCAAGAAGGAGACCAGGTACTATGGGGCATTACAATAGAGTTCACCTTGTCGGCTGCGATATGCCTCTACGTGACTTCGACGGCATTAATAGGATTCTCTGAGTCTAATGGTTGGGGGCACCCTAGGGTCTTGAACAACTCGTACCGACTCGATATTTTATTTCCTTTGGGCGTACTGTACGTTTGTATCAGGGCTCGGTCCAAGCTGATGAAGCGAGGTTCTTAAGGATCCCCGTCCCCATCTGTTACTGCGCATGTTTCTGGTCGTACGATGTCGCTTGTGTACAGTGACGACCCTCATGGGTTCACCCTCAGCTTAGCAGGATTCGGTACTTCCCTATGTCCTCCCGATTCAATCGGCCTGCCCTTGCCTGTAGATGTAGTCGGTTGTGTCGATCCTGCCTCCAGAGGACGGGGGTCTGAAGGCCTGGTCTGTTGCCACAGTCGATCGACCTTACCGTTGGTGACATCTTCACACCTCAGAGTGCAGCTCGATCTTCGGACGAGAGTCACGTTACATGTTTCCGGCTTCTGAACGGCCTGAAGTCCACTTCGTATTGAAGCCTGGAGTGCTCGGGAGACCTCGTCCTTGTCAGTACATGTTTGCGTTCACCGACCGCTGCTCTCTCCAGAGTATGCTGAGAGCTCTCGCTTATCAAGTATTGGTGTACGACTCTAGCACCTTAGGGGATCGAGTCAGTATCCTCAGTAGAGCAGTTGAACTTGATGACCTATGGTCGACAGATGTATATGAGTTTAAAGATATCTTGAGTGTGTGATGGTCATATCCCTCATGCTTCCTACCTGCTCGTTGTTCTGCGTTTAGTATCATGGGAACTTCAGTATGGGTATCTCAATACCTGAACGATCGTATATGAAGGGTCTTGTGGTCTTCAGCGGTTGATATTCTCGTGAGCGGTCACCGCTCAGCAATGCACTGATTTATGCCCCCTCGAAGGAAGCGCGTATTGAACCATTGCCCAAGGTGCGGCAAGGTAGTTTCTACCAGTGTGGATCGGCCATGTGTTCACTGCGGGGCTCGAGGCGGAGTGCGCCGCCCATCCCAGTCAGAGATGGAGGGCTGTGACACAACGCGAGAGTGCTTCAATGCAGAGGTGATAGAAGGAGAGCTTGTGGCTCATGACGGGTCGGAGGATATGTCGTCCAGTGGAGGAACAGAGGGCACTCCGATTGGCTTACAACAGGCTGG